AGAAAAAATAATTCAAACCATTTAAACTCTGCCCTGGGAGTTGAAGGAATAATGACGTCTCATGATGAAAGCCGAAATTCTTCGGAAGTCACGAGACCGATGCACCTTCTAACAACCAGAGCAACACTCTTTATAGGTACATGGAACGTCCGGACAATGTGGGAGACAGGAAAGACCAGCCAAATAGCAATGGAAATGAGGAGATACAACTTGGCAGTACTCGGAATCAGCGAAACCCATTGGACACAAACTGGACAACAAAGGCTAGGTACAGGAGAGATGCTGCTGTACTCCGGTCACGAAGGGGAAAATGCTCCACACACTCAGGGAGTTGCTCTAATGCTGTCCAGAGAAGCACAAAATGCACTTGTGGGATGGGAATCTCATGGACCCAGGATAATCAAAGCATCATTCAGAACAAAGAAGGAGGGGATCACAATGAACGTTATCCAATGTTATGCACCCACCAATGATAGCAACGACGATGATAAAGATCAGTTCTATGAAAGGCTGCAATCAATTATAGCAAAGTGCTCACGAAAGGACCTCACCATCCTTATGGGAGATCTAAATGCTAAAGTTGGAGTGGACAACACAGGATATGAAGATATAATTGGACGACATGGACTAGGAGAGAGAAATGAAAATGGGGAGAGACTTGCAAACCTATGTGCTTTCAACAAATTGGTTATAGGCGGCACAATATTCCCACACAAACGCATACACAAAGCTACATGGATTTCACCGGACCACACCACAGAGAATCAGATTGATCACATCTGTATCAACAAAAAATTCCGAAGATCAATGGAAGATGTGAGAACCCGGAGAAGAGCTGACATAGCTTCAGATCACCACCTGGTTGTGGCCAAGATGAGACTGAAGCTTAAGAAAGACTGGACAACTGGACAAACAGCACTACAAAGGTTTAATACAGCCTTCCTTCGAGATACTGACAAGCTCCATGAATTCAAGATAACTCTCAACAACAGGTTCCAAGCTCTACAGGATCTACTGAAAGAACAAGAAACTACTTTGGAGGACAACTGGAAAGGGATAAAAGAAGCACTAACTTCAACGTGTCAGGAGGTTCTTGGTCCTAAGAAGCACCATCACAAGGAATGGATCTCTATGGGGACCCTGGACAAACTTCAAGAAAGGAAGAACAAGAAACTAGCAATTAACAACAGCCGAACACGGGCAGAGAAAGTCAAAGCACAAGCAGACTACGCAGAAGCAAACAGAGAAGTGAAGAAAAGCATTAAAGCCGACAAGCAGAAATACATGGGAGAACTAGCAACGGCGGCGGAAAAAGCTGCAAGAGAAGGGAATATGAAACAACTATATGATACAACGAAGAAATTGGCAGGGAGATATAGCAAACCAGAGAGACCAGTCAAGGACAAAGAAGGAAAAACAATCACTGAGATTCAAGAACAGAGGAAAAGATGGGCAGAATACTTCGAGGAACTGCTGAATAGACCATCCCCATTGAATCCACCGAACATCGAAGCAGCCCACACTGACCTTCCAATAGATGTCACTCCACCAACGATCGAAGAAGTCAAGATGGCCATCAGACAAATCAAAAGTGGGAAGGCGGCGGGACCTGACAATATATCAGCAGAAGCACTGAAGTCAGACATTGAAATAACTGCAAACATGCTTCACCTTCTATTCAAGAAGATTTGGGAAGAGGAACAAGTGCCAACGGACTGGAAAGAAGGATATCTCATCAAGATACCAAAGAAAGGAGATCTGAGCCAATGTGAGAACTACAGAGGTATCAGTTTGTTATCAGTACCAGGAAAAGTTTTCAACAGAGTGCTGCTGAATCGGATGAAAGACGCAGTAGACGCCGAACTGAGGGATCATCAGGCTGGATTCCGTAAGGATCGGTCGTGCATAGACCAGATTGCGACACTACGGATCATCGTTGAACAATCAGTTGAGTGGAACTCATCACTATACGTCAACTTTATTGACTATGAGAAGGCGTTTGACAGCGTGGACAGGAGATTATTATGGAAACTTCTTCGACACTATGGAGTTCCTCAGAAGATCGTCAACATTATCCAAAACTCATACTATGGACTACAGTGCAAAGTGGTGCATGGAGGACAGCTGACAGATGCATTTCCAGTAAGGACCGGAGTCAGACAAGGCTGTCTACTCTCCCCATTCCTCTTCCTTCTAGTGATTGACTGGATTATGAAGAATTCGACATCTGAAGGGAAATACGGAATACAATGGACAGCTCAGAATCAATTAGATGATTTGGACTTCGCAGATGACCTAGCCCTCCTCTCTCATACACACGACCAAATGCAGATGAAGACAGCAAATGTAGCAGCAGCCTCCGCATCGATAGGCCTCCACATTCACAAAGGAAAAAGCAAGATTCTCAAATGCAACACGGAGAACACCAACCCAATCACACTTGATGGCGAAACTCTGGAAGAGGTGGAAACATTCAAGTACCTGGGGAGCATCGTTGATAAACAAGGGGGATCGGATGCAGATGTAAAGGCGAGGATTGGAAAAGCAAGGGCAGCATTTCTACAATTGAAGAACATATGGAACTCAAAACAACCCTCAAACAATTTCAAGGTCAGAATCTTTAATACGAACGTCAAGACAGTACTACTGTACGGAGCTGAAACGTGGAGAACTACTACGACCATCATCAGGAAGGTACAAGTATTTATAAACAGTTGTCTACGCAAAATACTCAACATCCACTGGTCGGATACTATCAGCAACAGCGTTTTATGGGAGAGGACAAACCAGCTTCCAGCTGAAGAGGAAATTAGGAAAAGACGTTGGAAGTGGATCGGACATACATTAAGGAAATCACCAATGTGCATCACGACTCAATCCCTAACTTGGAATCCGGAAGGGAAGCGGAAAAGAGGAAGGCCAAAGAACACACTACGCCGAGAAATAGAAGCCGATATGAAAAGGATGAATAGCAACTGGAAAGAACTGGAAAGGAAGGCTCAGGACAGAGTTGGATTTAGAATGCTGGTGAGCGGCCTATGCTCCTCGAGGAGGGGTAACAGGCGTAAGTAAAAGTAAAAAGTAAGTACCATTATTGTCACTGAAGTGCTGTGTCTCATACACTTTAGTCAATGCATGTTAAGCTGGTCATGTCTACTACTAGACAGTAGGTGGATCTTAAACTCTAAGAATCCTGAAAATAACAGTAATTTTCTAATAATCAAGATATATTAATTATTTTGAGCATTCCAGAACTTTGGACAAAAAATGTCCACGTACGGTTTAGGAAATCGAATTTTGCTGAAAATAATGTCATTAAATTCAGCTTTTGGTTACCTAGTGTTTAGATGTGAAACCGCAGATTATCGGCGATATGGGATACATGATATTGAGAATAGTTATTACAAGTAACAGAATGCTCAACTGTAATTGCTTACGTTATACGGGATCAATGTATCACGAATGTTCATCACCTACATTCTTCGTTTACAGATGTTGTAATGGATCATACTTTAACAAATTTAATCAATCACTCTCTTCAAGTTGCATTCTTTTTGCACGAAAAATTGAACGAATAGCAAAGTCCAGATTCCGGCAGCTTACAGCATGGTGGTATCTCTCAAATCATTGGTAATCAGATCTAACTGTACTGACCTCTACTCAACGTTGTGTATAAAAATTACTGCAAGTCCAAAGTGCAGGTGGATCTGTTCAAAGACATAAACACATAATTTGCATCAGCTTGACAGTAAGTCTAGACTGACTTCAGGTTGACATTTATTAGCTTCTTCCGTTACTTCTCTCCGAACTCCTACATCATAGGATTAAAGTTGCACCAGAGATATCGACCACGCCCATACATTGCCATTAGATGCTTTTTTAACCAACCCTTTTAATCCGTGAAAGGTGACTATATTATCTGAAAAGTCTGGTTTCATTTATCTGGATTCTTTCTCTTGTTGCTGGTTCATGTTCAGGCTGCAGTGAACTGGTTGTAGTGGATGTCGAGTCGAAGACGGACTATGATCACCACTACAATTCGTTTACGCGCCCAAAAACGACTTGGTTCCTTTGATAGCTCGTAAATCAGAAGACTTTATTAATCCAGATCAATTGTATTTATTGGCGATCTCGTGGTATCGAAATAATACCGAGAAGTGCCAAAGAGTACAGGCGAACAGGCAGTGCGTGAGCAAGTTCGAACCAAACAAGGCGGAGGGAGAAAGCAGAAGTGAAACTGATACAGTTAAACAAATTCAGTAGAACAATCTCTGGTACAATTGGTTACAATAATAATAATTGTTTCCGTTATTCCAATCGTGTTCTTATCGAGACTGGCCGGTCACTACATGGTTTTTTTTTAGCTTTGATAGCTATTTTTCAAAAAAAAGATATTGATAGTCACTAGTAAAGTAACCATTTTCCTGAGATAACTTAGTATTTATGGAGACTATGTCCGAGGCTAAGCTGATTCGCATTACAATTTGACAACAAAGGTGCTTTGGAGTCCGATTGTTCACTTTTATCTTAATGTTCACAGCTTAGACGATAAAGTCTGACTTTCTGACAAGCTATTTAGATTAATATATTTTCCGATAAAACGCCAAATAATATTAACAGCCTCTATGATTCTATCAAGTCGGATTATAACGTCTCCGTGGTTAACTAGGTGTTTTGTTTTATATGTGTTCTTAGATTTTGTCACGCATTAGCGGCTTCATGTTCAAGGACATCCGCGGACTATCTGATTCTTTGAACGTGTATTTGTAGGTCACACTTTTTGGTCGTCTTCCTAACGTAGTATAGAAGGTCTGTTAACATGAAAGTGATTGTTAAACGATTTTATGTGAATTTTACTGCTTCCTTTCGCATTATCTTTCTACTTGCAGCGTTCTGTCTGATTCACCTGTTGGTTCGCGTACAATTGTTAATTCATTTATTGTACTATCCAACTGTCTTTAATTTCCATCGTTTATTGGTATTGAATCGGTCTGTCATCAATGTCCGAATCTATTTTTGAGGATTTATCTGCTCAAGTCAGGATTCCTGGTGACGAGGAAAAGGTATTCAAGGATGAATGTCCGTTTTCGTTTGAGACACCTGAGACAGAAAAAGGAATATACATATGCATGCGACACTTCGTTGCGATCGGCTCTAAAACACTTAGACTTTATTATGAGAAAACTGGCTGTCGTGCTTTTCTAAGATACAAAATCGAAAAGCAATTCAAAGATAAGGGTATGTTTGTTATCGTTTGGTATTTCACTTCCACGTTATTCTAAGGTACAAAGTAAAAATAGTAATTCTGAGTTTTTGGATGCAAGTATATGACTCCACTCACTACAACTTAGCCCTGATTTTATAAAGTCATTTGTATTGTATTTCTTAGGATAGTTTACTCGGCGAACGTTGTTTTTTACTTATTTATTGAATTGTTTCACATCATGCCTGAGTTGTTTTGAGGTTTAAAAGAAGAATGTTATACTAACGGTCGTCGTTTAGAGTATCATGGGTCTTTCATTATCCGGAATAGATTATACTTTTCTTCTCCATCATTACTTGCCTTTCCATTTTACGTCTATTTTAACTTTAGCTTCTAGTGATAATTACAAATATGGTCGCTGAAAACTATTTGATCTTAACTTTAATATCCATGAAACCCATTTAAATATATTGTCAATTTATCGGGGCTTCTGGTTAACTTGTTAGACCACCTCAATCTTCTTTTTGTAATCACTCCCTGAAGTCTTTCTCAATTCTTTAAAGAATGATTATCCAGTGTTTTCAGATTAACACATCTTTATCACTGAAAAATAAGTGTGGGTAAAACTTAAATGTTTTAGCCCTAAATAACTTTGTCCCTATCATCAACCTGATTTCATTTAAAGCAAAAATTTGTTCGAGTTAAAATTGCGTACTAGCTGTGTCAGCACTAATGACTACGGAATATTACTGGCGAGACTAAACTATGTGGACAGATTTTCAAGGTCACATCGCTAAGTTCGGTATCTGATGCTTATGTACGGTCGATTTGCAACGGATTTTAGAGAAGACTTGATAATTCAGCGTCTACAAGAGAAGTGATCATAAGTTTTTGGCGCGAAATTCAATTATCCATTTGTATGAATAGAGTTTTGGCATTTTTTTTGATGTCAGTTCGTGATGAGAACCCTATGTATAATTCCTAACCTTAACCATGAGCTGTAAATCATAATTTGAATTCTTCACACAGGTTTATAAACTTATTTAGTCTTGGTTATTATGCTGACACTCAGAGTCACCCTAGCTTCGCTCAAATGTCGTCCATAACTTATAGTCTCACCCATAATCCTAAACCCTACAACTAAACCTCAACTCTAACCCTAACCCGTGAACCATACCAATAAACTAAGCTATGTGGTCGAGGCTAAAAGAATTTTTGAGACCTTATGGTTTCAGATGTCGACTACTATGGAGCCACATGGATGAGTTCCGGATGCACTATGATTTTAGAACTTCTGAACCTATATCTGACTTTGAGAAGTTTTTGAGTCACGTAAAAGAACAGTATCACCTTTAATTCTTGAGTTTTGTTTAATATATTTTTACTGTATACTAACTGACTTCTGATTGGCTAACATTTCTCAAGGTCATCTAAGATTCGTTCAAAGGTCGTCCATTTAGTTTAGTCTCGCCCTTCAATGTATTACTGCCGAAGATGATTAGAACTTGTTGCGAATATTACTCATGGACATATCCATTTTACTACATAACTAATTATCGGTAACGATATGTATGCTACATCCACACACCCTTGCACGACAATTTATTTATTTATTTTAACATAAGTATTGTTGCAGAGGGTCACCGAATACATATGCGCCAGTCACTCGAAATGCTCTCTCATGACCACGTGCATACAACCAGTGCCATGGAAGTCCTACTCACAGTCTTGTCGCAGAAGGCGTATTGTTTACAAAATTGAGAGGACGAAAAGCGAATGTTCGGGGCTTTAACCGTGTCATTAGATATGGAGGATTCATCTAGGGAAGTTGAAAAACCTTGATTCCAAACCAATGGTGCACATGGGCTCCAGGATCTTGAGGGAACAAATGGCATATGAACCAATTGTTGGTCACCGGCTACCATGGGACTGCATCTCCTTAAGTTTCTCCACTGACTTGTGGATAAGACCTTAAAATCAAAGACTCGGGCTGTGGCCCTCTAAGAAAAGCACCAGCTTCACTCTGGTCACCGGGGCAGTATCACAGCCCACACACAAATCTAGTGCACAATAATCATGAGATTGTGCTTCCCATTACATCTTTTAGACTACAGTACCTTTATTTCTTCTTGATTCGCTCACTATGTCAGAGCGGTTAGTGAGACTTGAGATTCGTAGAAACATTTTAGGCCACTTGTTTGGTCTTTTTACTGTCAGTATCGTTTGGTATCACTTAATTGGGAATTAAGTCACAGGAAAATATAATCTAATGAGTTGCATCATCTTTGGTGTGTGTCTAGAAAAAAGACTTGTTTTTATTGTGATTTTGTAGGTACTAGTGCTCAAGAACGCCCGACAAAACTCGCCATTGGAGTTTCTGGAGGTTTTGACTTTCCCCAAGATATGTATACAGTCACTGAACATTGGTCGCTAGTACGTCTTCCGCAAGGCGACTCATTTGATATCCCGAATCCAGAACCCGGACGAGGACAATCTGATATATCTCACTTAGAGATTTTGGAACTCCCTCAACGCCTGGCTACTTCGATCGCATTAATTCAACGTGCTGAGTCAGTATTACTAGCAGAAGAACGAGCTAACTCACTTAAAGCTTGGGAAGATGATAATATTTGTTTTATTTCCTCGTATGCCATGAATTTAGCACAAATAAATAATTCTGTTCGGATTCCTCCGTCGTAGGTTAACATTACTTATTCTGCTATTTTATATTTTGTTTTTAAATAAACAAACTGTTATGTATCACTTTTACATCAATTCGATTTACTAATTATATATGCTTTTTTTACGTTCGGTATATCTATGGAACACTATCATCCTCTACATTTCAACTGTTATCAGAATACATGATAGTAAACCTGAATTATTGTATACAACTTACTGTTCTCTTGTCAAGCGTTTTCTCTATGCGGTATTTTGTGAACTGTCTTATGAGATGCCTCTGTTAAGATCATATCTTACGGGTTTGTTAAATGCACCTTAGTAAAGGAATTGTACTACTTCCAAACAAGTTACTTACCAACTTTTAATTTTTGTTACACACGTAGTTATAACAGAATAATTAAAATCGGTCATACTCGTCGACGCTCGGTCGAATTCATCCTCTGGTGATATCACGTGTTGGGATTCGGAGAGGGGCTATTCTGTATGGTTAAAGACTATTTCAATCAACTAAGAAAACGGGATAAAACAACTGACCTGTGAAACTGAAAAGCTAACTTAAAAATACATTCGGTTAAATTACCAGAATGCAATTTAAATCTTACCAACTTGTGTAGATAACAACTGAATACAAAATAGATCTCACAAGATGGACCAAATGAAATACTGTATGACATGTTTCTGAGTTAAATAAAAATTGCTATTTATGAAGAACCCTGATAAAAACGTACGTCTTATTTTATTTCTCATGGAGAATTGCATAAAAATTCCTTGGAATAATTTGTGAATAATTTTTTAGTGGATGGAAATGTGCCAAATGTGATTTGAGAGATAATCTGTGGATGAATCTTACTGATGGAACCATACTTTGTGGTCGAAAATTTTGGGATGGGTCTGGAGGGAATAATCACGCTCTGGAGCACTATGAGAAGACCAAGTATCCACTAGCTGTCAAACTTGGAACCATAACTCCGAAGGTACTATAACGACTTTTAAATGCATCTTCTTAGCATAAATCACACACTCGGGTGATATAAATCTTTGGTAACAGTAGTTTTATGTAGCCCCTTAACCGACTAAGTACAGTACTTATACATAACGTGAAGTTTCATATCAACAGACCTTTAAAGGGCTTTATTTGTGTCATAGTTTTGTTATTTATGACGGAGTAGCACATCTAAATGTTTTGTTCATAAACCCCACTTGTTGGTCAACAATACCAGTGTTCATTTTTAATCGTCATATCAACTCCTTAACTGCGTTGTGGTTAACATAGAAATGTAGAATGCATAACTTTTCATTAATGAATCCTTGTTTCACATATCAACTCCTTAACTGCGTTGTGGCTAACATGGAAATGTAGAATGCATAACTTTTCATTAATGAATCCTCGTTTCAATATTTCTGTGTCGCTCCAGGTCTGTTCTTTTCCTGGTATTACAGTTGGTTTACCGGCTCATAACAAGACGAAATACTGTACAATAGTGTAGGACTTTTATCCTTTGAGCGTTTATTTTATCCGTCAGATCGACGAGCAACAACCAGTGAAACTTTAATCTGCTCTTTTCTTTAAAATACGTTCTTTCATCGTATCAGTCATAATCCATTGACTAGCTAGTAATCACAATATCGCAAAAAACATCATTGTCTAACGGTTGGAAAACATCAAGTTTTGAGATATTTTTGTCTTTGCATGATTTCTTGTCTATATTTTATGTGCAAACAGACCTCTAAAGAAATCTGTATTGATATACATACAGGATATCACGAAATCACTTGATCTTTGTTGAACTTACTTACTTACGCCCGTTACCCCTTGTTGAGGAGTATAGGCCACCCACCAGTAATCTTCATTGAAATCGTCATGAAAATACATCATTACATAGCTAGCGCCAAACTTTACCAGAAACACAATACCTTGTCTTTTATTCCTTGTAACTGATAAGTGCACGTTGTGAAATAATTATGAACTGTTGTTTACTTTCTAGCGTAAATAGTCATGTAATCATTCGTTTCGTGGTTGAGTTATGCTAAACGTATGTTTTCCCCCACAATTCCTACTTTTCAAAGGGTGGAGAAGTGTTTTCATATCCTGAAGATTCAATGGTAACCGACCCGAAATTAGCAGAACATCTTGCCCACTTCGGTATTGATGTAATGCTTATGCAAAAAACCGATAAAACAATGGCTGAGTTAGAAGTGGATGCAAATGAAAGACTTGGAGAATGGCTAACATTGCAGGAATCCAACCATACACTTGAAGCACGTTATGGTCCAGGTATGACTGGACTTAGAAATCTCGGTAATACTTGTTACATGAATGCTGTGTTACAGGTTAGTCAGTAATGTTGTGCGTAAAAACTATAATTTTGCCATTGTTGTCCATAAGAATTTCTAATACAACTCAATAACTAAGTTCAGGTTTATTTTATTGCTGGGACAATGATTCTACCAAGCTTTTTGAATTAAAGTAGGTGGATCGAAGTTGGAATTTATGAATCACTGAATAAAAGTCGCGTTTCTCAACCATTACGCCAGTATTGTATGATAACATCAAAGTGTCTATTAAACAAATGGACATTGATTTTGCATTTTAGTTCATGAAATAGATTTTTGATGCTATTCTTGTATACCTAGTTATGTTTAATGTTTGAGACTGTAATTACAAATGGGCTTTTACTGATAATAATTAGAGACAATGTTCCTAAATAACTCTCAGTGGTTTTATTAGTTCCAAGTAATTGATGATTTTCACCTTGTTCAATTACCTCATCATAATCAGGTACATTTTTGCAAAAACACATCACCTACATGTATCAATTCATTTGGTCTTTTATCCCGACATTTAGGTTTGTCTGTGCATCTGATACTTGTAGAACACAACAAATAATTGTCTCCTTTATATTACTTGTCATTACCCCAGTATAATAAAAAGTGATTAATTGTACTATTGATACTTTCATATCATTCTTAACACCGACTATATTTGGTTCTTTAGTTTGATATTTTATCCGTTGGATAGCCAGTCTGAAATTCCGAACAGTCTGTAGCTTTGTAAGTATTTCCTCATCGTTTAAAAAGACATTTGGACAGTAGGACCCTAAGTTTACTGATCATTCTTTAGCTACCACTATAAAACCGATGTACTACCCGACAGTTTTCTTCAATTTCTTTGGATTTTGAGGTGATGTATTCCTTGCACCTCATAGGCTTTAAACTTAGTGGTTATGTAACTGTATCATTTGCTCTAGTTTGAAGCTTGACGTAGGGGTTTATATTGTTTCCTGATAATTCACTAACTGTTCCTACTCAGTTTGATGAAATTATCAAACTTTACGATATACAATACTGACCTAGAGAAACGATCAGTAATTACTAGTCAGTTTGAAGTGATTCAGAATGTATACATGTTTTATTTGTGTGACATTATTAAACGTAACTTTACTCATAAACTGAAAAGCGACAGAGAGCAGCAAGGCCTGATGGATCGATTCCTGATATCTTTAAGAATGGTGGCCCGGATTTTCCATCTCTGTTAATGGGGTATGCGAACTTGACCTGGTGTAGATACGTACGAGGTTCTACTGTAAGACTGACCGTCTGAAATTGATAAAGTGAAAATTTGCTGGTCACAGTTTGCATGTGGGAAAGAGAAAGAGAGACAAGTGTTTCTTCGGTTTGCATAACCTACTTAGTATGGTGATTGCTTCGTGTTACATATTCTTTGACTGAGTATTTGTATTAGTAGTCACTGTCTGATATATTGATTACTTTCCCCGTTTGATTTCACCATCAGGTTCTGTTTTCAATTTCACAATTTCGTTCGTACTATGCCTATCAATTACCAGTTTGGTGTGAGGAAGCATTGGATCAATTCACTTCTGAAAATCATCCACCTCTACCAGTAGATGATATTGGTCTACAATTTTCGAAATTAGGACATGGTCTCTGTTCAGGCGCTTATTCATGGCTAGTTCCAAATAATTTTAGTCATACTACTACAGGTGGCCCTGTGCCTATTCTCCCGGGTGAGTTTGATCAGTCTATAATTATGATTACTTTAACGTTTAACAGTCATTACTGGTATTTTAATATCCTTGTACACCCGAAGGTAAGGAGAGCCTGCTCTTCCACTGGAAATGCTCTTATATCGCTACACACAGCTGCTACCAGAAAAAGCCCTACTCATCACCTCGCAGCGGTGTTTTTTATGAAATTGAAAGAACCAAAAGCGAATATCTAATGATTAAACCGGATTGGTGGGTACGGATGATCCACCTAGAGGAGCTGGAAAACTTTGATTCCAAACCCATAGTTCACATAAGCTCCAGGATCCTGAAGGAACAAACGGTGTCTGAATCTATTGTTGGTCACCGGCTACCATGGGACTGCATCTACTAACTTATTTCCACGACATTGTGCTTTAAACTTACAGATCAAAGGCTTGGAATGTGACCCTCTAACAAAACCACCTGCTTCGGTTTGGGCACCTGGACAGTATCTTTGCCCTCATATAGTACACCGCCTTAATCAGATATGTGCACTCTATTTCTTTTAATGATTTTGTTTCATTACCACTTTGAAAAGGTCTGGTATAGAAATATTTGCTGTGTAGACGTTTATTGTAGTATTTATTTTACATTGGTTGTTTAATACCTTGTGATCGAGTGCGCATAGATGAAGTATCGTCGAATCTGTTGTGATATTCAGTAAAAGCTTGAATTAATTATTGGTTATCTGATAATTAAGTCAATCATTATATTAGGATATCGTGATATACCTAGTCTGTTCATTGATTACATGAACCGATAACGCATAAGGTTTGTTTTATGACATTTAACGGACACCAGTTCTGCTTTCCTATGGTGAAGCGTCCATTCTATCTCCGTTTCCATTGTTTAAAACGTCTCTAGAAGCCCTCAAATGTCAAGCTCTTCAGATGTTTTCCCGCTTCATTTTCTACCAACATCAAATCACAGATGTTCTATGTTTTTCTCAGTACTGTTGGGTGTCGTCCTAGACTTGCACCATGTTTACAGTCTTCATGAGCATTATTGAAACACTTGCTCGGGTTAAAAAGAGTTGTTTACTTCATTTCATCATATCCACCAGTGATTATCAATCCTTCGAGGATTTTCTTGAGGGTTTCCTTAAGTTTAACCAATAACCTTACCAGCTCATTTTGTGCATTGATGGTCAAACATAGTGTTATAACGATCCGTTTCCTTTCTTCCCACGAATGATCTACTTCAGTTTGGGCACCTGGGCAGTATCATAGCCCTCACACAAATCAAATGAGATTTGTGTGGCGCATATATATCCGCTGCCGCTTTGTACCAATATTTATGTGTTTAAATAAATAAATAAATTACACGAATGGGATGTTAATTTACCCTAGACGAATACCTACACTAGATCCCCTTCCAGTGTCTATTCTACAGGACTTCAACACAACTCGGATCAAGAACACGTGATCAGCCTGACCAGAACGTAAATATATTTCCACGCCAAAACCCGACACAGTCCAACAACAAGAACAGTTAACCCATAATAATGATAGGGGAATATATAACTCATCTGACACCTGTCAGACTATCTACATGTCTGACTAAGCAGGTCGGTCCCCCCAAATGCCCTGGTACGGCTGAGAGTGGGGAGAGTCACCTCTCCATCTCGAAATACTCTCATATGGCCAGCGAATATATAGCCTCTGCCAGGGAAGTCCTACTCACTGCCTTCTCGTGGCGGGGGTGTTGTTTACGAAAGTGAGAGGACGAAAAGCGAATGTCAGACTCTTTAACCGGGTTGGTGGACACGGAGGGTCCACCTAGGGGAGTTGTAAAACCCTGATTCCAAACCAATGGTGCACATGGGCTCCAGTATCCTGATGGAACGAATGGCGGAAGAACCTGTCATTGGTCAACGACTACCATGGGACTGCATCTCCTCACGATGCTCCACTGCCTTGTGGATCAGGCATTCAGGTCATAGGCTCCGGGTGTGGCCCCCTAAGAAAACCACCTGCTTCGGTCTGGGCATCTGGGCAGTATCACAGCCTTCACACAAATCGAATGAGATTTGTGAGGCGCATATTTGTCTGGTGCTTCATTGTACCAATATTTATGTGTTTCAATAAACAATAATAAACAATAAGACTAAGCAGACAACCAATCATCATCATTCTCGCCCACACATCACATTGTTATTGACTCACTTAGCAGGTAAAGGTTCGTGTATTTGTCTTCGAGCCATACTGTTAATTGTGATAATTGTTGTGTTAATTGTGCTATCTGACTGTCCTAGTTGAAGTAGGTGAAGCTGGGTTTGAACCTGTGGCTTAGTAGCTAAATGTAGGAGGTCTTTGGTACTGAACCACCGATCCATGCGTATACAGCTTCTGCCAGAGAAGTCCTACTCACTGTCTTGTCGCAAAAGGGGTGTTGTTCACAAAATTGAGAGGACGAAAAACGAATGTCCGGAGCTTTAACCGGGTCAGTGGATATGGAGGATTCACCCCCACATGCGCTGGTACGGCCGAGAGTGGGGAGAGTTCGCTCTCCCTCTCCGAATGCTCTCATATGACCACGCGTATAGAGCCTCTGCCAGGGAAGTCCTACTCACTGTCTTGTCGCAGAAGGGGTGTTGTTTACAAAATTGAGAGGACAAAAAGCGAATGTCCGGAGCTTTAACCGGGTTGGTGGATGTGGAGGATCCACCTAGGGGAGTTGGAAAACCCTCATTCTAAACCAATGGTACACATGGGCTCCAGTATCCTGAGGGAACAAACGGCGTTTGAATCAATCGTTGGTTACCGGCTACCATGAGACTGCATCTCCTCACGATGCTCCACTGCCTTGTGTACTAGACCTTCAGTCAAACACTCGGGCTGTGGCCCTCTAAGAATAGCACCAGCTTCACTCTGGTCACCCGGGCCGTATCATAGCGCTCACATAATCTAAATGAACTGACAATTTTTTTGTGTGGCGCATATGTATCTGGTGCCCCTTTGTACCAATATTTGTGTTCAAATAAATAATTAAAATAAACCGATCAATACGTATGTTAATTAAATGTTGTCATTAATATTTATTCGGTTAATTGTTACTACTAGCTTATAAAGTTTATTCGGTTGAAATAGAGTCGATTGCTTAAGTAAATTATCCGTCTAATTACTCCATCTATTACAGCAATTTCAGTAGTCAATAATTGTTGTTTCTCTTATTCCCTTTTTGGGAGTAATAGACTTTCGGCTTCTAATAATTTTTATTTAACCAATTATTTTTATATATTGAAAATAAAACATACACAGGTATACGTCCAATCTTGTTTCGTCGATTAATGGGTGCGCATAATTCCACATTTGCCACAAGACAGCAACAAGATGCTTGCGAATTTTTAATATATCTATTAGATTTATTAGAACAAAAAGCCAATAAACAGGAACACGGAAAAGTACATCCAAGTAATGTGATGCGTTTTGGTGTGGAAGAACGCCTACAATGTGGTTTGACAAATAAGGTAAATTGATTTCACCTATATATACGTTTATCTTACTCATGACAAACTTATGAAGTTGTAGCTCAGTATTGAAGGTATTCAGCTACCAGACCACTAAGTTCCAGGTCTAAACACTCTTCAACCTACTTTGTTTTAAGCGATCGGGTAGAATCGGTAACCTTTATAGTTAGAATGGGGCTTAAAGACAAATTTTTGCCCCCAAATATCAAACTGATTCCTATATGATCATTACAAGAGGATCTCCTTATAAACTGGGATGATGGTCAGCGGACATGATCAGGGTCATGGAATTACGTGTAACAATCAAACACCGTGGCAAATATCCCATTTATTTTCACTGAATATATTGGATCATAATCTAAAAATACTTATCGAATCAACCCGTCATGGATTATGTTCTATCTCGCTTTAAATTAGATATAGCCCATATAAATTTGCAATTAGGAAAATATATTAACAATATTCCATTTAAATAATTATTACAAACAACAGAAACATCTCCAAAAAAGAGTTCTACAAAGTTTCTACATAGAGTTTCCTCAAACTATATCATTTAACATAATTTAATTATTTTATTCCAGATTCACTGTAGGGATTATTTTGAATCTCTGTAATTTCCACTGTTATTGTTTGACCAGGTATTATTTGTAGTATAGATTATAATATATTTAAGTTCTATGTAAACCTATGTTTTGATAATTATTCCCCTACACAGATAAATACGTCAACACTAAAGATCGTACTCATAAGGAATTTATCTATCCATTGCCTACGATTCACTAACACTCACTAATAGGGTATTTTATTTATTTATTTAAACACATAAATATTGGTACAAGGAAGCACCAGATACATATGCGCCTCACAAATCTCATTCGATTTGTGTGAGGGCTGTGATATTGCCCAGGTGCCCAGATTGAAGCAGGAATAGGGTATATAGATTTATTGAGACAAAGCGAAATTGATCCACTCATTATTTTCATGTAATAGAGATCACATTTAGATTGGGAATCTTAAAACATAACGCTACTCTAACATATAATGTATTTCAAAATAATGACAATTGTTAAAATGCTTATTTAATGAAGTACAGATGCGTCAAAAAAACATTTGATGGTAATTAATGACACACCGCCCATGTGTTCTAATAGTAGTGAGTTCTATTAATACTATGTATGGTGTAAAATACAAGAGGATGTTGGAACTAAATCATATGACATAACTGGATAATCACATGTGTTTGTTTATATTTTAGCGCTGAGCAAATACTTTTTATTAGGCTACAGTGGCTGGCCACTAGTCCAATTGATTAAATAATAACATGACCCTATGATTTAATATACAGTTCAATAAATAGTCTTGTTGAAATGTTATTGGTGTTTACACTTTTGCATCATAGTAGGTATGAAGTATTTAAGAAAAAGTAATATAAATCCTATACCAATGATATTGTTAGTTAATGTGAATTGGTGGTGAACCAAATCCTGTCATTACCATGAAAATCTAGCTTGACTTTTATCGAATCGCACCAAACAGAAGAGGCGTTTATTTGCCGATCAAAATGTCGATTCCTTTACGTGCTATTGGAGTTCATGACTACGAAGTAGAATCTGTAAAGGTTTCTAAAATGTATGTGTTACAAATATTTGATTATACGTGTCTTTGAAGTATTCCTTCCATCTGGTGGAATCATCAAGTCAGTAATACTGAGATTAAATATATGGTTTTAATTAGATTGTTTAAGATGGTCAGGACTCGAGTTATACATTCCTATCCATTGTACATTCTATTGTCCCTATGTAGCACAGATGAATGGATCATTGACCTCTGATTCTAGTGATGTACGAGGACGTTATTTACAGCTAAACATATATATATCCTAATTCAATTCATTGATGCAGTTATATTTTTTGTGCTTCATCGTAACCCTCCATACATTTCACTACTCTCCCTTAATCAATTTTTCAGACAACCAGCGTAACAGCGATGCTGCCTTCCCACAAGGAGGGGTGGGGTTAGAAAAGGTCGACCTTAAAAATGCACACCTCGCCTTATCCCACGGATTTCCGTCTCCGGCGGTAATTTCCTTTGAAGAACGGAGCTAACACGTCAAAAATCCCCCACAAAAAGGCCGTGCGTGACCGGCATCAAGCAGTTGTCCCTTGGGCACTGCGGTCACGCTCCCAGGTCGTTAATTCCAACACTAATCCAACTTCCTTTTCAGGTCCCTCAAGAAATACCCTTCCACGGTATAGGCAACCTGGAAGTAAAATCAGCCTTCATACTCGCAACTGCACACGATACCAAGTTGGTCACAATCAAATCCTTCCGACTCACTGACTTAATCAATTCTTATGAACTACATTTCTTGTTTTAAGTGTTCCTCTACTTCTCATTTTGTCATTTTTTTCACTGCAGTCGAAATTATAGAAAATATGACAACTTCATTGGGTACATATTTATACTACTAGGTCTTACATTGTCTTTGACTGTGTTTTCTTCACTTACATTAAACACTTAGTTTAACACAAACTAAATTCCTTTGATCAATACCTAAGTGCATACATCTGAACAAACTTGGTTATTATCAGCGGTGTATGATATATAATACAAAGTACAATAAACTATACTCTTTGCATAAATGATCTCTGTGATTTTGTTTTAATTGCCACCTTTCTCACCTTTCCCCTCAATACCATACACTTCACAACAACAGGTCTCGTACAAAACTGATCATGAATGGATTCTTTCAGTTCCAGTTCCAATGGAAGCGGTAACGAATCAAAAAGCATTAGACAATTATGAGAAACGACGTGCTGACGCTGAGTTAAATGGTATACATTTATCACCTGAAGAGGTTGTACGACCAATTATTCCTATGGAAGTAAGCAATAAAACGTATAAATGATATAATTGATATTTATTCACTTGTAGTTATTTTATGTGTATTTTCCTTACTATAATTCTACCATATTGATTATCTACACAATAGCTTATGTTATCCTGCATTATACAGAATAATAGTAATCAGTCAATGAATGTAAACAAGGTGATTGTAAGTGTTGTTAGAGGTATGAGAATGGTTGTCGATCCCCTGGTCCTCACACTAAAATGATATTTCTTCTGAAAGTAACGACAACTTGTTTAGTAGTGGTCTTGATGATTAAATAACCCGACTGCATGACTCAAAGGACACTTACTTGAGACCGATCTTTTTGCTAGCAGTTTCTGATATGTGATCTCCGTACTTTTAGGACCATACCTTTGATAACGAAAATTAGTGGATCGACTTTCTCTAATCCTCCCCTTCCGTATTGAGAAGGAAGCATGTCTACAAATATTGATTGTCTGATAAAAACACCGTCCTGCTATCACACTTTACTACGGTCAGCTGTACAATTTCCCTCTCAAATCTCAAGTTTGTTACTTTTAATTTCACTACTTTCCAGCCAACTTATATGGTGCACTAGAATCCACAGGAACGAATATTCAAGCCAGTATATGTAGGCCTTACCTCTACTTCAAGGTAATAGCTACATTCGGGAATTGTTTAATAAGATCCCGTTATTTGTAACTACACGACCAGTCAATTTGCAACAATTAATGCGAATTATAATCTACGAATGAAGTTTAAAATTCAAGTTTTTAACTAATTTAATTTTGTTTTAAAATAAATAGAAAAAGTAACAATTCATTAGTCAAACAAATCATTTGAGATATAACATAATTGTTAAATCACTTCTACTATTACCATCTGATGTTTCTATTGCTTTCTAGTTCTAGCCATGATGGTTATCATTCCCCACAGAATTTTGATCAACTATCAATAAATATTATACCCTAATATAATTTCTAAGTTCTAACTAAAGTATATTGTACCGTACACCTGCTCAAATCAAATTGTATCTCAAAAAACAGGCAGTCATTGACGCGTGTACGGTTGAATGGCCAAGACATGCGTAACACATGTTCACTGCTTGCCTCGATATTGAGTGCTGATTAACGTTTAAGTGATCTAGTAGCAGCTACAGTATTTAACTGTATAAGGATGTCCAGATTACTTTATCAGGACTCACAAGATAATCATGTTCATTAATAATTCTCTTGTCAATTAATAAAGTTGTTAGTAACAATTAACAAATATCGTCTCCTTACCATTATTATTATTATTATTATTATTATTATTATTATTATTATTATTATTCATAGCAGAAAGCATGAGTCAATTGAAGCTAGATCACCATGGAAAACCTGGAAACACTGGACGGCCGTTTCGTCCTATTATGGGACTCCTCATGCCTTCTACTATGAAAAATACTAAATCTCCACAAAACCCCTTCTTCTTCTTCTTCTTCTTCTTCTTCTTCTTCTTATTATTATTATTATTATTATTATTATTATTATTATTATTATTATTATTATTATTATTATTATTATTATTATTATTATTATTATTATTATTTTCATCGATAATATTCCTAGGCTTGCCTGTCGGCTTGGGCTCAAACAGAACGAATTACTGATTTTAAAACACCAGCAAGTCAACCTCCAGGTGCCAAAACATTCGCTTTACGTTCTAATCGTTTAACAAATTTTCCAAATTATTTATGTATACAAGTTGGACGATTTACTGTTGGTACAGATTGGCTTCCGAAAAAATTGGATGTGGACATCGAGTTAAAATCATCTGTTGGAAATCATGGTAATACAGAATGGTTTATTGATTTAAATAATTTACGTGCACCAAATGGTAGTAGACCGTTGCCTGGTGAACAATTGATGCCAACTGGAGATGAAATAAAATGTAAGTTTAACACATGGATTATGTCACCTATGTGTTTTAATACATTAAACTTGTACATTTCCAGTTGGTTTCAGATTCGACTCTTCAACTCTATCTAACTCGATAGTTTAAGTAATCAGTCATCTGTGTTTATCACAATGAGTTTATGCTATCTATACCTGCTATGCTTGGAGAGATTACGATAACACTTAAACCGGCGAAGTGGAACGAGGTCAGCAACAAAATAATCGGACAAGCTAATCTATTCCAATGCACCCCAGCCATGGTAACTATAGGAAGAAGATCAGATTCAACAGAGGGAAATGTATATTCCACAAGCGCACAACTCAAGCGCATATAAACTGCATAAAAATATCATTGGGAAACATCACAGAATAGCGTATTGAAAGGCGAAAAAGAACAAATTACATTTAATGTCCTTCCAAACGGGAAATGCAAACTAATAATGGAAACCGGCGCTTTTGGCGTGAAAATGAGGGATTCAAATTTCAAAAACAAAATTACAAAAAAATGAGATACTTACCAAGTTGTTTCTTTGTATCTGGCATTTCCAGCAATATCTTGATTATATTTTCATTAATTTTAATTATCCTTTTAAAATTTATTAGATAATTATGTTTAATAATATTACTTCGATAAGTTTAGATTTGATAAGCTAAATATTTGTGCATGTACGTTATACTGCCTATACTTCAGAAGTATGATAATGAGGTCGGTGATATAAATTTCTCCTTATGTTAGCATAATATTACCAGTTCTTGTTAGTTAATGTGTGAACGTATTTCCCATGATATCTGAGGAATTTTCTTTAGAATATTTATCAAAGTTCACTCTTTAACAGAAAGATACGTACATGTTAATAGTCTCATTCAATAACCCTCTTAGTTTTCCCACTTTCTGAATCTTAGATAATCAAAAAGATAAACTTCTCCATAAACAGAACATCAATGTTTTAATATTGTTTAAGATATGTGTGGTTGATACTTCTCAGTTACACTGGCATCATGAACAGAAATCCCTCTTTGAAGGACCTGAGAAAAAAGCGGGATGAGTATCGAAGGCTTGGTCAACATTGTAATATAGATTCAGAGGTCAAATGAACATTGATTCGGAGAAGCTACAGAGATTTGGTTTTTTTCCCAAAGTATTTTAGGTCCATGGACTTTTCAAACACTAACATCTGATATTCATGGGGCGAACAATAAGTCATGTTAGTTTTTTTAGTCGACCTTATCTGTGTCATTTTTTTCGGTTTCAAAAAGATAGCATCGCTAGAGATATTGGTTATCCTTAAGAAATTAGTTAAGACCACGTCCTAGTACAACTGATTGTACAGCCTTTCACTAGGATTTTAAATTTTCCGTTTTTTATTTAATCACTGTCTAACCAACCTTTCTGGAACAATAGGACTTCAACGAGTATGTTTTGTTGTCAATGCATGCATTACTTGTATTATTACTTCAAAGAAATTCCTCCTTGTTCTTTCCCCACATTATCATATAGCTGAACAAATGAAAATTGATGATGATGTACAGTCAGATGTAACAATTATCAATGATCTGTTAGTTATGGGTTTCACTTTAGAAGCAGCACAGAAAGCTTGTAAATTTACACAAAATAGTAGTGTAGAAAATGCTACCAACTGGTTAATGGAACATTTAGATGATCCAGATTTAAATGACCCGTTGCCGCCGCCTAGTGATTATCAACAACAAAATAAACAGAAACAATCAGTGGTTGGACCGGTCACTTCTACAGATATTGACGAAAACGCAGTTGAAATGATGTTGGCTATGGGATTCAGTAGACAACAGGTAGGTGAAATTATATTTCTAATTTGATAAAATACAAAGTTAATAGTCGATAGAGTTAAAAAGATTATTCAGTAAATTACTCAATAATATTTTTTGAAATCTAACTTGTTTCAATCATTTTCTTGTCATCTGAATACTTGAACTAATGTTTAATGCTTTTAGTAGTAGTGGAACTATAAATAAATATAAAACTTCAGTATATCTTCCTTCTTGTGGTTAACTGCTTACTGAAGTATTCGACTATCATCTCTTTAGATTACAGGCTCAAATCTCTATTCACGTATTTCAATCTAGACAATAAAGTAGTATCACTAGTCGTCAGACAAAAGATGCGAATAAAATCCAAGTACATAAATGTGTTTAACACTGTATTTTGTTATGCAATGCTCTCTCAGATAAGTATGTAATGTCCTTTTTATTACATTATATATATATATATATATATATATATATATATATATATATATATATATATATATATATATATATATATATATATATAACAGCTAACTCGTTTCCTGTAATTACACGTAAATGTTACCTCACCACCGACTGAATATCCAAGATTTATATCCAGGTTTTTCTACCTCACCAGTCAAACTGCCATATCTACTTAAAACATTACATTTAACTCTACAATTACTGACTTTATGGTTCCACCAAATGAGAACAATTCTTCAACATCACCTATGATTAAATGTTAAAATCTTGTATAAAAGGAATACTAAAAGCATCGGAGAATTTTCGGAAGCTTGGCACTCAGGTTAATCAGCAATCAACAAACACACTGAAATCGATCCAATCTATCAACCAATCAGAAAAAAATAATGGACAAATATAGAATCAATAATCCTACCGAAGGGGGGATACAACCAAACAGTAGATGCAGTTAATGACAGGTTGAAGATTAAAAATAACCAGTCAAGATCAAGGTTGACAGGACAAGCTGAGTCATTTGTGGAAAAATTCGAACACCTCAATTCTACCTGTTGATTTTGCTGATGGTGTTGTTCAGAAGAACAATGAAAGCTCCACAACCGAAGCATCCAACTCTGCAAATAAAACTCCATCTAAATCACCTATAATCAAATACTTGCAACTCACATATGCCTTGAATCTTTTTATGTCCATATGATTAGTCGATATAGGATGAAATATTCTTGTCTCGCAATATCAGGTCAGTCATAACCGCAAACATAAGAACCCCCACGACACAGACGCGGCTTCGACCAAGTTGCTATAACACATTAACGTTGGAAAAAAAATCATGAAATGAGTAACAAAAATCGATATATTGTAATAATGAGAAAAACTAAACACTGAGAATATGGCTTGAAAAGATAGAATGAAAAGACCTGTATCAAGAAATATTAAAATTCACGACGTAGATAAAGATAAACAGTGGACGCATCTCTGCATCATTATGATCTATTCTGAGTCATGTTATCCAACGTCAACTAATAATTGTCGTTATCAAACCGACGTTAATCAGTGTTAGTTTATCAATAAGGCTCAGATCAGTAGTTAACGAATTCTTGAGCCACTATCAATAGCCAGTCTTTGAAAACTGAAATCTACCATAACATCATGTGTAATTCACAAATATTTATAGTAGTTGTAAGTTACTCTCCCCATCGCAACAATAATCCAATCTAAAGAATATATATATATATATACGCATATCTTTTGATGTTTATCGATTGTTTGAAATTGATCCTTCGATCATAAAAAAGAAAATCAATAATATGTATTGAAAAAAAGTCTTGTTTTGTTTCTAAACTAATTAATTAGTAAATAGTGAAATCAGCTGATTGTAAGTATATTGAAGTGCAATAGAAAAAAATAATCATTTGTGTAGTCCATTGATATTTCATCCAGCTACTAAAACACATGCACACAGAGTTCTTGCATTAATTAGTTAATTTGAAGTAATGACAAAAAATATTGACTAGTGGATTTTTTTGTTGGCCAAGAAATCGATTCAGTATCTAAGCGACAAACATATATATGTATGAATGTGATTTGGTTTAGCCTACCCAATTATAACATTTTCACTTATTTTTAGTCTTCTCATTCAGAGTAGTAGCCTATTAGGAATTCGTATACAGAATGTTTTTGTGTATCAGTATCAGTCTCGAACACTGCACATCGTAACACCTTTTTGTAGATTATAGATAGACGCTTTTGGTTTTAATGTTTTCTATGAGCTAAATGAATAAATTGTTAAGTGTTTCAGTGTCATTCCGGACGACAGACACAACAATTATGAGAAATGAGTTTTGCAGAGATTTTAGTAATTTTATAGTTGAAATCACGAGTCAATTGAAGCTCAGTGGTCTAAAGTCTAAGCTCTCGTGCGCGAAAATGATAGGTCCTGGGTTCGAATCTCGCGAGGCGGGATCGTGGATGCGCACTGCTGAGGAGTCCTACAATAGGACGAAGCGGCCGTCCAGTGCTTCAAGGTTTTCCATGGTAGTCTAGTTTCAATTGACCCATGATTTCAACTATAGAAAATTAATTATCGCCTAGGCCATGTAAAAGGTTGTTGTTCAGTGAGTCATAAAGTAGAACCTGACACATGTGCACTCCTGGTCAAGTTTCTATAACTTATCAACACAGAGAGATGAAATGGTCCGACTAAGCCCCAGAATAGTGGAGACAGTGACAGTATTAATAGTAATAGAATATACGATTCAAGAAGAACATGAATCAGGGAAATAAAATCTAAAACATTGTGAGGAAGTTAAGAACTCAGAATTTGGAAAAAGACAAAGAATGGATTCACCTGCATCAACGCGAACAATTTTAAGCAATGACATGCAAAATTTCCAACCATTACTTACTCCAATCACGCAAACCCCAACCCAGGTAGTCAGCCCCCATCGAGGCAAACGGTGGTTAGGCGTGTTTAACAAATGTCCCAACCACCTCAGTCCGTAAGTGTTGAATTGATTTGTTTGAATGTACTTCTTTGTTATTGGTTAGCTCCGTATGTTTTCCTTACAAACAATGTTATCAGGACAAATGCATTCAATACTTACACTTCTACTTATAGTAGGTGTTGATGATTTGCTACGTAGTGAAACTGGAAATTTTCAAATACACTCATTCAGCTTAGCGAAAACAACAGAGTTAATATGTATAACTATGTTATATTGGCACATCTATTTGCACTATTGGAAGTGAATGATGAACATTCTTTGATCGCTTAATACGCTGGGATCTGGAAACTTTGGTGAATCGAATCATCCATCGAATGATGTAAACTCATATACAGCGGAGTATATAAGTTCTGTAGAGATTACAGATTCATTTTGTTAATAAAATACCAACTAACATTCAAATTATAATAATGTTTTTTTACACCTAGGTGTTAGAGTGTAGTAGTGACTAACTAACTTATGAAGTATAGCTTATGAATTATATACATATTTGACTTGTACACATTATATTTCTTATAGATTTCGTTAGATTCTTTGATTAAAATGTCTCCTCTCAATCTTTACTTTTATTTCAGTCAATCGTCGCATTGCAACATAAAAATGGTAATTTGGAACAAGCTGCTGACTGGGCATTGAGTAGTCCAGATGAATTAGAAACTTTATTACTTCAGTCTGAAATAAATATGACTAATAAATCTTCCACTGATGCTGGGAATAATTTAAGTCAGACATCATCATCTTCATCAGGTCCATCGCTATCAGATGGTAGTTCAAAGTATGAATTATTCGCTTTTATTAGTCATATGGGAAAGTCGACCAATGTAAGAAAACTAATTACGTTCAAATGTGCATACTTACAAAATGATTTTTCGTTTGTTCCAAATCTCTTAGTTTGTGCTTGATTTTTTTTTCAAGCTTGTATTATAGTAAGTTGTATGTTAATCCACATGACTCAACATATGTATAGATTAGCAAGTTTCTCTTGCAGTCACTAACTAATCGTGTAGCTAAATTGTTTTCATCGCTCCTCAAAATGACAACACAGATCCATCAGTAGTGACATCTTGAACTATGTAGTTAAATCAAGTTTAAATTCCACGGCGTGTAACCAGGCCAAAGCCTAGGTTCTCGATTCCCTGCGGACTACCTATTCTAAAAATGTGAAGATGAGGAATTTGTTGATGAACTAGTGAATCTTCATTGATTGAAGAGACTGTGTATTCGAGTATTTTTTGAAAGTAAATAATTTACTCCTCGGGTGTTATGTGTACTATCCTATTATATATATGTATATATATATCCAGAAAAAATGTCAGTAAACTGCTAAATAGGATTGAGTGACTTAGCTATCTTTGAAATATAGTTAATATCTGGCAAAAGAGTATGCATCCCTAACCAACTACATTATTGACTTTGCTTAACAAAGTTTTATTTAGTCGGGTTTTATTATGAGACATTCAAATTGATATTTCTTTTGTTTTACACAGGATGGTCATTATGTAGCTCATATTAAACGATCATTTCTAGCTAAATGTATTCCTCATGAACCGCCAGTATATCATGTCGGCTCACCAATTTGTGGTGGTTCCGATCAAGAATGGATTATATTCAATGATGAGAAAGTAGCAAAAAGTGAATGCCCTCCACATCGTCATGCTTATTTATATTTCTTTCGAAGATTAGATGCTACTGATCAGTCTGACTAACTCTAACTGCTTATGTGTGTGTGTGTGTCGGAGGGGTGAGGCAGTTGAGGTCACCCAAACAGTTTAGTGTTTAAAAAATGATAGATTTATTGTTCTATTTTCCCATTCATTATCTCCACTTATCTTCCATTCTTATTTTAAACTGCATCATAGAAATGCATTAAGTTGTACACATTATGAATTTAGAAAACCTGCTCTTGTGTCTGTGTGTGTAGAAATGACAAATCGCTTTTGTTCCTTCTTCATGTTAATACAGTACAATAACCTATTCAAAAGTATAACACATTAGCTTTCTCCATTCCCTTATTACATTTATTCGTTCATTCATTATTATTTCTCATCTCGAGTTTATCATCTTGTCAAAAACAACTACATACAGTAAACCAGATTATATTGATATAATTCTTGAATACATTTTTTTAATCAAACTAAACATGGTAACAAAAAAAAAATCTATAACATACAGATATAATATACACACGTACACAAACAAACACAAATATAAATACTACCTCTTTTCTGTCTATATATTTCATTCATAAACAAATAACACATTGTTTTTATTTAATTATTTACATCGTATAAAATGGATTGTACGTGTTTTGATTATATATAACTTACTCGTTGTTAATGATCATTGTTACTAACTGTATTGTTATGCAATTTTGAAAGATATCATGAATAATAAAAGTAAACACTTAAACAAAAGTAATATAGTTCTCTTTTTCTTTCTATATTGTTTATTGCTTGATTGTTTTGTGTTTATATAGTTAAGATCATTAGTCAATTAAAGCTAGACCACCATGGAAAACCTGGAAGCACTGGATGGGCGTTTCGTCCTATTTTGGGATTACTCAGCAGTGCGTATCCACGATCCTGTCCCACGAGATTCGAACCTAGGACCTACCAGTCTCATGCCAGAGCACTTGACGGATAGACCACTGAGCAGGCATCCAACGGTGTTAGTGTCTAATCTCAACCAATTCACGAAATTGAGCAACCATTCACCAATGTCTTCAGTGAGTTGATATCTCTCAACAGACCACTGTTCACTGCTTCTCAGGTTTTCCATGGTGGTCTTGCTTCAATTGACTCATGATCTTAACTATATAAAATTACTAAAATCTCCACAAAACTCCTTGTGATGATTGTTTTGTGTTTATATATTGTTTACTTTGATTATTATTGTATCTTATGACTATTTAGATGTAAATCTTAAGGTGTTCAATACAAGTAAACTATTGGATCATGTTATTGTGAAATTTTAGTGAAAATACTAAACTGATCATTATAAAGGTTAGTACTAATAAAGGCAATCAATAATTGGTTAATCTCTAAGTAGTAATCAATGTCATGTTTGTTTAATCATTGAAATACTGATCGAGTTCTATCAACTAAGTTTAAATGTGGTCACTAGTCTAAATGATGTAAAAAATATATGTACAGAAAAGCCATGCATCATTTATTTGGGCTTCATGATAATTGGGACTCTTCAGTAAAACATAACTAAAATCTTGACGGAACTAATACCATCTGTGAAATTCAGTCAATTTTAGACATTACCAATGAGCTGTTCGAGCTGCCACTGACTTTCTGTAGAACTGAGATATTTACATTGATTAATGATTGAGTCAGCTTGTTTCATGTTTGTCTTGTCTTTTTTATTTCCAGTCAAACTGCATCGATCAAGTTTTTGTTTAGACACGAATTGAAGTGACTTTTCAAAGCAAACATAGTTTTTTGATGTCAGTTGATGGTTGGAGGCAACTGACAAGAAACTAAATCGAAATTTCATGTTCATTGGTATTCATCAGTAAGGTATTCTTCCCAGCTTTAGTGGACTAATACTCTCAGGTGGAATTGTCACTATTTATGAAATTGGTGTTTTAAAGTTTACATTACTCAATTGTTTTATATTGGATATCACTCGTTTTACTTAATAAATAGTCCGTAAATCAAGTTATTTATTCTAAAGATGTGATTTCGGCAGTAACATTTTTAGTTAAGCTACTGGAATTTGTTTTGCTGTTATAAGAAATTCATTATCTATAGTCAAATAATAATAATCACGTACTCGCTAGTAACTAATTTCGAGAAGTTATTCTTGGAGCTCTACTGAGAAGTCAGCGATAAGAGGAGTTCATCTTTATCGGTCTGAGGTAGTTATCCGCTAATGACATTGGGATATAGTTGCTCAATACTTCAAATAAACTGAAGTTATAAATGTAAACTTTTTAATATTGACTCAGTGATTTAAATGTCAATCACTTGTTGAGAGACTCTTGAACGTCCTTGCTTCGATTCCACTGTGCCTATGAGGAGTTCCATACTAGAACAAAACAGCTGTTGACTGCTTCCTGGTTTTCTGAAGAAGATTGTTCTGTAATATAAAGAATGATAGTGTGAATTAGTTATTCATATGCGTTTTTCTCATAATTCAGTAGGGATAATCACTTCAAATCTTACTATAATTATAATTCTTAGGAATTAATATAGAATGGTAATTCATGAAGCTGGGCAGTTCTTTAAGGTTTTACTCTTGTTCCAGTTTATTTGGTAATGGGAATGGTATTTCGCACCAAGTAGGCGAGGTCATACGACGTGCTCGTCGTATTTACCTAATTTAACAATCAGAGCAGCACAAAAAACGTTTAATAATCACTAAACCTAACGACTATTTTATAGGTATCATTACCAATGTTTGACCTGATAATTTCAAATAAACTGAACATTGGGTAAATTGTTATAAATAAAGATAATATATAGATTTCCTTGAAAAAGCTTGGACCAGATTGCCAGGCGAAACGTTGGATTTACTACAAATTCATTCGCTGAGATTTTACAAATATATTATTCCTATTTAATGTCTTACATCAACTCGGCGCTCAAATACTGTGAAACTATTCGCTCTAATTTAGACGAGAGTTCTTACATAAAGATAATATATTTTTAATAACCCATTGTGTAGGAAAATTAGATTTTCTGACGTTTGGTTACACTTCTTCAAAGAATAAATAACCGAATCAAAATTAATCCAAATTTAAATAGTACAATGGAACAAAGCAAGATTATTAAGTGTGATCAATCAAAAACAGGTCTGAACAAGTCAATGTCATTTCGGTGAAAGTGATTTATAAGGGACATGTATGAAAATTTGTATGTGCAGGGTCAGGAGTGATAAGGTGTGACCTTTGTGGTGTGATAGGATAGTTTGATTTGTATGTGCAATAATAGTGTGAAATGTGAATTATATCAGACGTATAGATAGTTCAGTTCGGATGGATAATGAGGCCTTCTTTTCTATTGAGAGCAGTAGGATTGATCATTATATGGAACGCTTCAGCTACTCTCCTTTCTTTGTAGTTGGAAAAACCTTTTTGTAATATTCCGATATTGATTTGATGGTTGTTGAAAATGGCATGAACTGCTATTGCTGATTTAACTTAGAGTCTATCCAGTTCTACAGGATTATTAGGTGGTTTCTTTCTGTACCTAAGATGTTCTTTTGATCGAATCGAGATGAGTCTTCAGTATAGTAGGCATCACAATCGACACTTTAATTTGTACACAGTTCTGTGTTAACATAAAGGGTTTTTTTAAGCGAACTAAAGTATTTTGAAGCGTGTTCGTTGCTTTGTAATATACTTTAATCCCGTATTGTTTTAAAATTCCCTGGAGTTCCTTTATACTATTGAAATTTTGATTAATTTTGGTTTGGTTATTTATTCTCTGAAGAAGTGGTTTACGCTGAGTCAAGAAACATTAGAAAATCTAACTTCTCTACACATTGAGTTGTTACAAATACATTATTTTTATTTATAACGTTTTTGGTTATAGATGGCCAGAGAAATACTATGTATTCAACTGGAAGTCATAGGTTTCTCTCTTGGTTTTTTAATGACGTTCTAAATCAATGGTTGACATAGTCTAGATCCGATCACGTCTGCTTATATTTACTGAATATTCTCCAAGTTCGACATTTTCTATTACTCTTCATGTTTTAAACCCATATCATTGGTTGTGTGTTCAAATAACTACACACTTTTTAGAGGCTTAACATTCTTTCGTTTTGAAGAGGAGCAATACTTTTCAAGAGAAAAAATTATATTACTGACTTCCAAAGTTGACCTAAATCGTTTTTGTCTAATTTCATGTTACACTACAAATGTTCCTTTTTATTTTATGATGTAATCTGCTGCACTTATGAAATTAAGGTGGACATTCTCATTGGACTGCATAAAAGTCCGCATAAATGATCTGTATCACTAGTGACAATCTACTTCCAGTGACCATTTCTTCTAGCGTATACCGGTGACTTCGTGATTTAAGCATTTCTTTTTCAGTCATGTTGAGGGTTCAGTCTCATCTCCATCTACTTCGATTTAACCAGCCAAATAACACCACTAGCTCTCATATGAACATAATATGGCTCATAGTCTAGAGTATACAAATGTTCACTTATTAAATCAGTTATCAAAAGCAATCTAACAAATTGTGTAGTTGAGTAATTTATTCATAGGATTTAATTGTATTTTCAGCCTAATACTACTAGTTTACCCCACATGTGTTTATCTTCAATGTTTTTAATAAACTAAGGAATATACCCACTTACAAGTGCTGGTAATGCTCTGTAGCTTGTTCAATAAGTAGAACGCGCGCTTGAGTTGTTGGCTTTTGTGGGGCGTTTATATCATTTCGGTAGTTACCATCGTTGCAATGTGGATTATCAGTTGGAGAAAATAAGTGAACACCTTGTAGTAGTATTAGGAATATCAATTATCAAACCTATCGGGCTTTCATTTACATTTAAAGATGTTATGACTAACTAAATTACTTAGTACTATCTTACCATAGTGCACAGGATGTCAAGTTACTCAGACTAATTGCTTCATAGTTATTTGATTGTTACAGTTAAATCAGCATTTAGAAAGTAAACAAATATAATACTAATCACTACTCAATCAATTAGTTGTCCCTACATGGAGTTCGAATGACTAAATAGAAACTCCTCAAACTGTTAAGCTGGATTCAAATCCTACAGGTAGTATTTGTATATTCCGATTTTCAGGTACGCCTTTTTGAGGGGGTACCAACTAATTCAAAACCTGGGTTTATGGTTTCCTCCCAGCTAGAGTTTGTTCGACTGTTAGTGTCGAATGACTTAGCATTTACATAGCACTTTTGACTACAGTCTAGGTAATCCGTCAATAATTGTTAGGGTATTATGAACCATTCATATTGATTTTATAAAATCTTATTGGCTTTATAGTAAACAAGATTACTTCTGCCCATGATTATCTTCTGACTATCATTTGACCACATCTTTACCAGAAATTTGATTTGTTTATTTGTTATAGAATGGCTGAGAAGGCGGATGATTTATACTTACCAAATGCAGTACTTCTTCGAATTATCCGTGAATCAGTAAGTGTTTGGTTACATGTATCTGTGTGATTTCAATTGTTGTATTGAATTTTGTCTTGCCCTAATGAATATACTAAAAACGTTTCTGGAAATTTCGTTTAAAAGTTTTTGTACTGAATTCGATGGCTAGATTAGGTTTTTTTGAATATTTTCTTTAGCTTTTAAATGCGCTAGGACAAAGAGTAAATACTTTTAAACTATTCGTAATCATTACTTTACTAATGAGACTTTTTAAATCTAAACTGATTACATTTGCTAATCGCTGTATACTATCCAAAACTACTTTACCTAACTCTTAGTTTTTGTATATAAGTCAGTCAGCTACAACGTAGGACTAGACACACACATGCATCGGTCCAAGTTGCCATATGTCGTTATCACAACAAGATGAACACTGAATTTATAGAAGTAGTTAATTTAGTGGTGGTAATTTATAAAAGAAAGGTTGTATATAAGGACATAGTACAGGAAGAAAGACAGATATGAAGCGATTTTAATCTCACGGTTTAAGGGAAGACAAAGAGTGTATACACCTACGCCATTGTGATCGATTCTGAGCCATGTCACCAACAGTCTCCAACCATCGGTTACGACAGTCGACCAAAGTAGATGAGAAAGTCTTACACTAGATGAATGCTAACATAAACCTCATATCTGTCGATTATTCTTAGCTGTGATGATCATTTATATATTACCTTTGGTTTAGAGTTGAAAGTACGTAGCAAAGTAACAATAATATTTTAAGCGGAATGAATCCATTTTCTGTCTACTGCCTCCTAGAGCATTGGGACTTGAATTTAAATCTAGTATATACAAATCGAATATTCGTTCATCCCTAGATTAATGAAGAAATAATCAAATATGTGGTTTATGGAGAACTGTTAAACACTGGATAATCATAGACATAAAGATATTCTTCATTTGGAGCTCAGCAACAACCCACACTTAAGAATTCCAACCAATCTCTCTCTGGTAGGAGAGTATCCTTAGATTCTTTTCAGCTCCGATCTATAATATTTTTTTTAATTTTCATTTATACACATAAATATTGGTACAAGGAAGCACCAGATACATATGCGCCGCACAAATCAAATGAGATTTGTGTAAGGCCTGTGATACTGTACATGTGCCCAAACTGAAGCAGGGATCTATAATATTCAGCGCGACCATTATCTAATAATATTAACGAGTAATCATTAGCTCACTCTAAATGCACCTTGAAATTAAGAAAATAATCTCTTTAAAGTGATTCACAAATTTTGTTTACTGTCCTAGTTAATCACTGTCACTTCGTAATAAGAAATTTATATTCATAGAATTAAATCCAGTAATTGATAGAGATTATTGTTATATTATAACTAACCTGTCTAACTCGAGTAGGCCCCCAGTCATTCAACAGAGATCATCAACGTTGATGGTCTACAACGCCAACAAGTCGAATAATGATCAGTAGTTAAATGTATTATTAGTGTTGCGTCTTATTTGGAATTCGTTAACCAGATTCATTCCAGTACTAATCTTGAACTTAATACCTTTTACTTCAAACTTAAACACATCTACTGAACTACTAAATTCACTTAATCAATAGTTTATTCAATAAGTTACAAATTTTATTTCTTCTATTCTTGGGTTAAGAACTGGAATTTATCAATTACCATTTGCATAGATTTTTGAAGAGTCCCAAAATATCTCTTGTTAAAGTCTTTAAAGTCTCTGAAAATGTCTGAGAACATTCTATCCCACTAACAATGAATAAAAGCTTTTCAGAAGCATTTTAAAAAACGTGTCACACTCCAATTGAATAATCGTCTATATTGTTGTTATATTTGGCATGTTTTCAAAATTTTTCAGATAATCAAGGTCACATGAAACTCAATAAAGACACTCGATTCTCTGTACATACTTAACATTGATACAAAGCCCTTACTCATTTTTTGTGCGCCTGTTTTGTTGTTCGAGTTGAAGTATAAGTAGTAGTTTTGGGTTAAAAGAAGAATCTGGAAAATCAGTAATAAAAATTCCAGTGGATATTAGTATTTTTACTATTACTATTATTATGATTATTATTATTATTATTATTGGTAAGCAGAGATGGATAGTGGCTAGCAGTGGAATCCAGGACGCGCGTTTCATCCTATTTGGGACTCGTCAGCTGGATGTACCTGCATCTCAGAGTTGATGTTCACTCTGGGACTCGAACCCAGTGCCCTCGCTTCAAATGCCATCGCGTTATCCACTCGGCCACTGAGTCCTGATAGCCACTTGCTTGTGCGATTATTATTTAAACACATAAATATTGGTACAAGGAAGCACCAGATACATATGTGCCACACAAATCTCATTTGATTTGTGTGAGGGCTGGGATACTACACGGGTGCCCAGATCGAAGGAAGTGGTTTTCTCAGGGGGCCACACCCGTATCCTTTGACCTAAATGTCTAATCTACAAGACAGTGAAGCATCGTAAGATGTAGTCCCATGGTAGCCGGTGAACAACGATTGATTCATACGCCATTTGTTCCCTCAGTGTACTGGGGCCCATGTGCACCATTGGTTTTGAATGAGGGTTTTCCAAATCCCCTAGGTGGACTCGCAGTGTCCACCAATCCGGTTAAAACTCCGGACATTCTCTTTTCGTCCTCTCAATTTCGTGAACAACACGAGAAGACAGTGAGTTGGACTTTCCTGGCGGATGCATGTTTGTCCAACTGATATGTTTTAAATATAAAGAAGCATAAATATTTATTCACTGTTAATCCATTTAACCCATTTTTTGATGTATATACCTTTACGTTTCTTTTTTTTGTCCTCTCGTCCGCTTATAGTTACCTGAACGTACTCTTGTCAGTCGTGAAGCACGTTCGGCAATTAGTAAATCAGCTAGTTCTTTTATACTTTATGTAACATCATTAGCCAGTGTACATTGTGAAAAATCAAAACGTAAAACATTAACAGGAAGTGATATATTAGCTGCTTTAAAAGAAATGCAATTTGATCATTTTATACCAGCATTAAATTCATTTTTAGATAGTAAGTAAATATTTTATACTATAGGAGAATTTTTACAGATTGTAGAATCTTCATAGTTTTTAAATCACAAACTGTTCTTAATTAGTCCGTTATTGAGAAATTGGGAGCACTGGACGAGCGTTTCATCTCAGTAGTAGTGCGTATCCACGACTCTGCGTCCAGTGATCGAATCTAGAATGTTCAGCCTCACAGATATACTTAGCTTATAGACTAACTGAACCGGATCCCAGCGGTGTTAATTCTTAACTTCAATTTATTTACCTTATTGGGTAACCTTCATTCATTACGTTCGCGCGCAAGACGAAATGTCCTGGGTTCGGTCCTCAGAATCGAAGTCATTGACGCATTGCCGAGGTGTCCCATATTGTGAAGAGAAGGCCATCCATTGCTTCCAGGTTTTCAATAGTATCCTAAATAACATAAGTTCGTAATATAAACTATGAACGATACTCTACAGTTTATTCTATTTGATTGTAAATTTTGCAACGTCGTAAAATTTCTTGAAGTTCTAGTAAGAAACTTATTTACAAAGTCATACGTACGGGAATTGCGACAATAATTTACGCACCACTATCGTTTGAAGGTGGATTTAATCGTCATCACTGTTCACACATGGTAATGTCAGAGAAATACTGTTATTTACAAGTTATATTCTGAATAAAGAAGGGTTTTTCATTGTGGACAGTACTGATTCTAGTCCCTGTCATAGTGATTTATGCATTACTGGAAGGAAATCAATTTTCCAACATTTTTGAAAAAATAATACGCTAAGGCAATCACAAGAATACTCAGTTTTGTTAACAGTGTTAAAATTTTATTAAAAACGATAACCGCGAGTGCCTTTTCCATAATGCAGTTATCCTCCTGATCTTTGTTTTTTTTCTAACCGCTTGTCATTGATTTCGATTCGCTAGTTTTTCCTGTACGTGAAGGTTGTGTTTTTAGTACTGTCAATTTCAAATATGACTGATCGTAATAGAGTAGCTAAACTATTTCCGTAATTCCCCAAGTATTGTAGGTCCGTATTAAACCTCCAAATAATAGGACATAACAATGAGCTCATTGGGATGTGTTACACATCCATAAACCATTACCGATCTCGATGCACCATATTGTACAGTATGCGAGCAGGTTTGAAATGAAATCCCTAACTAAAAATTCGTCCTATTATACAGCATTTATGCACTAAATAAACGGAGCAATGTTCGTATATGTTGAATACTGTATATTGAAAACTTGGGGACTAACCCCAGCTTATTCTTTCAATAAATAAGTTATTGTAATAATAACTTTAAAATCTGTTTATTTTTAATCGTTTTCTCGTATTTTTCAATTTGATAAACACTCCAGGTCAGAATTACATACTTTCACTTAATATCTAGATTGTTTACTTAATCTAACCTTAGTTCTAGGTTTAGTAATACATTAGTAGTCAATTATTTTTTGGCAAATACTGTTACTACTCACTAATGATTAGTAACATATTTCACTCTAATACTGTCACAAAACGGTATTTTTTTTAAACCTTTGTTTTCATTTTACCTGACCTTAGAATATCGTGAACAGTTAGTTTTCAAAAAATCGAATAAACGTCCACATAATGAGAATGAAGAAGAAATATCTACTGAAAAATTATCTCAAATTCCATCATCTTCAACATCACGCCTAAAACATCGAGATAGTAATGTTACAATAGTTGAAGATGATGACAATGATGTTGTTTGTGATGATGCTGATGAAGAAATTGAAGAAGTGGAAGATTTAGAAGTTATAGAGGTAGATAATGACGATGTCATTGAGGTTACAGATTCTCATATAGAAGAAGGTATTGTAAGAAATGATGAAGTAGGTAGTGGTATTAGTGATGATGATGGTGAAGATGACGGCAGTTCTCAGAACACAGAAGCTTTAAATGAAAATGAAGATATACTTTAGTATGTATTCTGTTATTCTTTTATGCAATTCTGTCCGTACTATGTAACACTACAAATTGAACTATACCAATGCATTTTTTTTATTGATATTCATATCAAAATAATCCGAAATGTTGCATTTTTTTTCTGTAAATTATTTATGTTAATCTTCTTTTTCTAAATTGTAAAAATTTTGATTAAGAAAAGAAGCGTCCTTTGGATATTTTTATTAAATATATTTTAGATTGTCGTACTTCCTTGGTGTATCCATCCATTGATTTGTACATTCATCGGAAGATTTAAAAGCCAGCGAATTCTATACATTATTTCACTAACTTTCGATAAGACCTGTTTAAAGCTTGATGAATGATCTCTTTTTATCGTTCAAACTGATGATTCGTGTGATTAGTTTTGATTAAATTTGGTGACTACAATATGTCACAATGTCTGCAGTATATGGTTAGATATACATATAGCTAGGACAGTTTGAACTAAAGTAGTTGTTGGGGTGATCCAGGTAACTTTTCTCAAACAACAGAGGTTCACTAGACGTTTTACCAGAAGCATCACGAAATTGAAAAGTCGCACGTAGAATTTCTGAATGATTGACTAATACATTGCTACTAAGTTTAGTAGCATTCTAGAATTTTCAGGAAAACCCAAGGACTTCTAAAATACTATCAAAACCCTATATTTTCTGTACATACCCGAACCTTTGGAGTAAAGTGTTCTCGCATAATTTGCGTCTTTTCTCTCGTGCTCAAGCTGCTGTGTAGTTTTAGCTTGGGGGTTACGAAAATAGACTATGAACCGAGTATAGCGTTCAATTAGCAAGACTTATCAAGTTATTCGTCTGTGGGCTTTGAATTTTTTTTGCCATAGTGCATACTGATGATACGATCCTCGAGTTCTTTCATTTTTGTGAGCAAATGTAGATGACTATGTTTGTGTGTACTAATGATTGATAGATCGGTAACAATTCAGTATATGAGAGACGAGTCAATCAAAATCAAGAAAAACTTTCAAGTCTACTAGAGATTCAAGACTGAATGAATTTGGTCTTCCATCACATGAAATGCTCAGTAAAACCAACTTTGTATAGTGCTCGAAACGTTTGTAAGTTACCGGAAAAAATTCACTATCTCATTTAGCAACAATTTCAACGTTGAACGTATCAGGTATTTACTGTTTTCGTATGTACGGCTTTTACATTACAAAAGAGTAAATTAGTTCCTATTTCAACTTTGTTGGTAGTAAACCCTCAAAGGAATTATTGATTCGCTGAATTACAAGCGAGCTGGTGCAACAGAAAGGCTGAAATAGATAACGGTTTCAGCGGAAACCTTCACATATATGACGACAAGAGTGGTTTGGCTAGTGATAATGAATTTCCAATTTAAGGTTATGCGAGATTTAGGAAAAAAACTATGAATGTGAACAAGATCACTTTCAGAACAATCAGGTTATGCAGTGATTTCTCCGCAATATCAACAACCCGAAAGTGACAATAATCCTATAAAATCAAATTCTGATAGGTTTCATTATTTCTATTAAGAAATAAGAATGACTTAGTATAGCTTATTTTCTGACTAACTGAAAGGGACTTTAGATTTTATTAGTTTTTTAGGAATTGCTCAACTCATTTTCACTAGTCTATACTACAACTCTTGAGTGTAATCCATGATCAAAAAGACGTTGAATGAATGAAGCATGCAATCAAATCTAAATAAAAAACGTATTGGAAGAGAAATATTTACTATTGATCAATTTAAGAATGGTCATCCGTCTCAAGGATTGAAGACAGGCATATCCAGCTACACTAAATATGTCAAATTATTTTATGTCATTCTGTTAACTGATTGACAGTTTTATTTGCGTGTCATTGTACTTTTTTCTGGTCCATAAATGGTTCCTGATCGAATAGTAGGATTATTGAGTTGGTGGTATCACGTATCCAGTATAATATATTTGACCAATTACTTAACCGTCATAAGAACATATTACTACTGATTATTTAAACAGCTCTGATCCCAGTTTATCGTTATTCTGTTTATCAGTCTGCTTTATTTTTTGCTTAGGTTAATGCAACTGGTCTTGGAACATATTGGCACTTATTTAGTTCTATAACTTTGAAGGAACGTTTTTTGTTGTTACATTCAAGTGTGACTAGGTTAATACAAAGAGGATTGCAGCATCTAAAACAAATCAGATTATATTATTTGAAAAGATACTCATTTTTCTTAACAAGGTACTTTTTTGCCAGCTGGATTTGCTACCCTCAGCCTTCTTCGTTTACCTGATCTTGGGACCGGGAGTAAGCCTAGAAGAGCTCCAGGCTGAGTTGTTTGAAAAGATTTGACTCATAAATTGTTTCAACTGAACATTTATCAGAAATAACTTAATTATATGAATCATTAGATGCAGGCAAAATTTTTATCAGAGTTCAGCATTATTATTGGAGTATATCTTACTTTATTATCAGTTTTGTAAGCATTGAATTATCATAACTAAGTGATGTTAAAAGAAGGACATAGCTACAAAATCACAAGAGTTTCAGAATGACAAATGTCACATAGGATATAACAATTAGGAACCAGTATTATCTCAGTAGATAATCTGTAACTTGCAAAGGAATAATCCTGTTACAGTTCACCAATAATCATTAACTACTAGAGAGAAGAAAATTGAGAAGGTAATAACCTTTTATTTGGAATCCAATGGTCAATCTTTTTTATGCCAAGAAATATATGATACAGGGTGAAATTTATCTAATCCTATCACAGTTAATAGCAATCACTTCGAATATGATCATATCCCACCTGTAATCGCTGCTCAAGGAATCCGAAAACTATGAACCACTGCATCCCATTTCATTAATGTAACTGCATATCGTGCTTATAACGAGATATATGATTTCATTCAGCATGAAGGGAACTGAATCATAGTATTTAGTGCTTCTTGAGTTTTCTGTGATGCCAGGACGAAAAACACCACTAAAATTGAAATAATCTCCTCCAATCAACCCGATCTGAATACATTTCTGGAAAAAAAGCTGTTATTTGAAATAAAGTTTATTTATTTTTTTGAACACATAAATATTGGTACAAAAAGGCACCAGATATATATGTTATAAGGACGGCTCGTCGGTATCGTTCAATCAACAAGACATATATGTGCCACACATATCTCATTTGATTTGTGTGAGGGCTGTGATACTTCCTGAGTGTTCAAACCGAAACAGGTGGTTTTCTTAAAAAGCCACACCCGGAGCCTTTGACCGGAAGATCTGATTCACAAGACAGTGGAGCATCATGAAGATATGCAGTCCCATGATAGCCGGTGACCGACGATTGGTTCATAAGCCATTTGTTCCCTCAGAATACTGGAGCCCATGTGCACCATTGGTTTGGAATGAGGGTTTTCCAACTCCCCTAGATGGAACCTTCGTGTCCACCAACCCGATTAAATCGCCGGACAATCGCTTTTCGTCCTCTCACTTTTGTGAACAACACCCCCGCCACGAGAAGACAGTGAGTATGACTTCCCTGTCAGTGACTATATACGCCTGGCCATATGAGAGCATTTCGATTGGGAGGGCGGACCCTCCTCACTCTCAGCCACACCAGGGCATTTGGGAGCTTGAAATAAAGTTGTATTCATTCAACGTGACTAACATAATCTATGTTTATGAATTGGACTTGAATGTGTGCATTTATTGATTAACTTCTGTTTCTCAACCAATCAATGGATGAATGTTTAAAAATAAGCACAGAAGTATTGATGAGTTTGATAGACGATATTTGTGTGTTTTTTTTTGGTAATATATCACTGTGTGTGTGTGTTCTTCGCGCTAACTTAAAGACAATGTAAAATTAACCGGTGAACTTCCTTTTTCTATAATTTACTGAAAAAAACATTTAAAATCTTAGATCAAACTGATTTAATTTGCTTATTTCATTAATTCCAAATTAGTCTCTTCATGATTTTCTTTAATAGTTTGTTGGGGCAAGATCTGACTCCAATTAGATCGTATGAATGATTGTTGTCAAAATATACATCTTGGTTATCCTCGTATGTAATACATGAATTAATCCGTGTTAATGAATTACGGTGTTAAACAACTGAAATACGAGAATGGATTTCAAATACATGTATTTTGTACATTTATTGATCTGGATAGCGAATCAGAGGGATGAAGCAAAATGTCACACATTGAAATTGGCGGATAAGCCAACTTGCTTTGATCAAACGTTAATCAATATTTCTAGTCAGATAAAAATGAATTATAGGCATGTGATGAATAAGATAAAAAGTGTACACATTCATACGCTCATATAAAAAATAGTCAGAGTTGAAAAGTGAATAATTAATAAGGTCAAAACGTGACTCATGATGGGTAGGTAAATTGGCTTGTTCTGAAACTATAATAAATTATACGGGCTTAATATATCAATCGACACTACAAGTTAAAGGCTAAGCTTTAGAGCCAGTTTTAGAAAATGATGGCTTTTTATATTAACAATTATCTAAAACTTTAAATTTAGCTACTGTTGATCGTTTCAGTTTAAAAGAGAAGATAAAAATCCTTTCAAGATAACCGTAAGGTAATTAGTCGAACAAATATTGTGTCTAAAATATTACCTTCAACAATCATCCTAAGGTCAACTGGATTTTGGTGGGGTTTTGTTTCCTGAGCTGGGTGGTTTGGTCTGAAAATAAAATCAATTTGTCATTATGATATTTTTGTCCCAAGTTTCGAAATTACGTTACATCTTAAATTTGAATTGCCCTTTTAAAAGCAACCTTGTTCTCTGATAATATTTTTTCTTTAAAAGTTGAGATCATGAATCAATTGAAGCTTAGCCACCATGGAAAACCTGGAAGCATTGGACGGCCGTTTCGTCCTATTGTGGGACTCCTCAGCAGTGCGCATGCACGATCCCGCCTCTCCAGGTTCGAACCCAGGACCTATCAGTCTCGCGCGCGAGTGCTTAACCTCTAGACCACTGAGCTGGCATCCAGCAGTGTTAATGTCTAACTTCAACTTATCCACGAAATTGAGCGACACATCCACCATTGTCTTCAGTAAGTTATTATCTCACAACAGACCCCAAATGCCCTGGTACGGCCGAGAGTTCTCTCTCCTTCTCTAAGTGCTCTCACATGGCTACGCGTATATAGCCTCTACTAGGGAAGTCTTACTCACTGCCTT